CATTTCCTGACTGAGAGACCTATACTGAGTGAAGGACCTTTAGTCTTCCTTTTTCTGGGCAGGGTTGTTTTTCAGAATTCTACTCTCCTATATCCTCCAGCCCCACGGATATTGGCTGGATGGCATTGGTGGGGGCAGTCTGTAGAGAAGAGGCCTGACTTCACTATGAGAAACTTCGAGGAAAATTTCTTCTTAGAAGGGTCACAACTTTTAGACAAACATCTCCTTATCTTTAAAGTAGAACAGTGCTTTTAAATAAGTGAGGAAGTTAGGACTTCGGAGGGTCATAGTAGGTTCCATGTCTTCCAATCTGCTTTGGTATTTTACAATAGCATATCTCAACTTTAGTGCCTTGGCAAGAAACAAACACAAAACTGGAGCAGGTAACAATTCTCAACCAGGTAACATTTCAGTTTCAGAAGTGTAAATTCAAATAAAAGTGTAACTACCATGAGAAATGTCAAGGCAACTCTTACTGTACTCATTATAAACTGTTGCCCCAGAAGGTACTAAAGCTCATTCCAGAGGTATCTGACTTAACAGTCAAGCTCAAGTGTGTCTTTTGTGTCTTACTCTATTGGCTTATTGGGTAACACTGGTGTTAGCCCAGATCTCAGTCTGATTTATGGAATTCCTCACACTGGGATTGCTTCTTCATTCTGAAGCAGGTTGAAGATTATTCAATACATTAGTTAAATTAAAGCCAATGCAAGTTAAAAAAAGCTAAGCAGTGCTGAAATTTAATCAATCAATCAGCTCAACACTAATCTCCACACCCATGTGTCTGCACACAGGGATTCCAATACTGAAGTACATAGCCTCTGCTTTCTTTATTGCACTGTTAAATGAACAATTTCAAAAGTTCCCAAATATGAAGTAAAGCTTTTGTGGGGACGGGAGAGTAAGGAGGTTTTTGCAGCATCAGCAATGCAGTGGAAGTTTTAGCAAGGAAGATTCAAATTAATAATGTTTCTTACATTTTGCCTCTGCTGGAAATATAGGAGATAAGAACAGCAAGTGGAGCTGGGAAGGAAATGGGAACTGGGCGAGACTGCAGTTTCCCTGGCCTTCAGTCTCTGAGACGATAGAGAGGGGACATGCAGAAACCTTTCCTGCTCAGTGTGGTCAGAGCTGCACAGAGCGCTGCAAAGCACTACAGCTTGGAAGCGTGAGCTTTTTTTTTTCTTCTCTCCAAAAAGTTTTCAGGAAGTCTGGGGGAGGGGCAATACCGTTTCTTTTTTGTTATAATGGGCCCCTTTGTGGAGATGGGAGAGGAAAGAGCTGCGTGCCTGCGTTGTGCAGGCTTTGCCGTGATTCCCAGGACAGCTTCTCTGTGCTCCTAACAGGCACTGGGCCTGGGTGTGGGGAGAGTGAAGAGGGACTGGGCCAGGATGGAACTGATGGTTCTGCTCAACGCTCTTGTTACTCGCCTGCTGTTCGTGTTGCACTCCCTCATCGGGGTCTGGAGAGTGACTGAAGTGAAGAAAGAACCCAAGTACTGGCTGCTGGCACTGCTCAATCTTCTCCTTTGTCTGGAGACAGGGCTCACGCTCAAGTTTAAGCAAGGCAGAGGCTACAAATGGTGAGCATATCCTGCTGGCTCCGACGGAGCCCCTCTTGCTTCTTTGCATGTACTTTGCTGCAGATGTGGGGCTGCTGCCTGTGAGCAGAGCTGCCCTGGCTTCCTTTCTGCCACAGTTTCAGGGAGCTGCGGTCTCTCCCCTGCAGCACCTGGGGTGGTAAAAAGAGTGGTGAAGTTCTAGCTAGTCTGTGGCCAAAACCAGAGGGCTTTCAGGAGGGGCAGATTTGCAATAGATGACTTGGGAACCACTCTTTGTACAATAGTGAGTGTGCACCAACAGCTGAAAGAAGAAGGAACTTTGCTGCAGCCAAAAGCTGTGTGTTCTGGAGCTGCCAATCCAGGGTGCAGGGGAAGTGGGGGCAGGGTCACTGGGCACCACAATGCCACAGCCGGTCAGGAGCACAGGCAGTGAGATGCCAGGGGCCCCACACCTCTCACCCAGCCAGCCATTTCCTGGCAGGCATCTCATTCCCTGGGACTGCATTCCCTGGGACTGCTACCCACAACAGTGCTATTTTCATGCTAGTGCATGAACAAAAGCTCAGCATCAAATAAAAGATGAGCAGCAAGAACTCTTACAGTAAGAGTTGTTTAAGTATTTGGATTTGAATGTAAGAGGCTATTCCAGAGGGAAGCCTTCATGCAGGAAAGACTGCCTGAGAAATGAGCAAAATAAGTTAGTCATAGCAGAATTAGCCCAAGCTCTTGGGTTTTTACACGTATGTAAGGAATGACTGCAGTCATCTACAGCTCATCAGCACAGTCAGTCAGCCAAAAACAAATGGTTGGTGCAAGGGAAGCGGGCACTTAACTAATTGTCCAGGTTTCATTAGGACCTTTTCTTTGTAAAAATCTCAAACTGCAGGTCTTTTGTCCCAGTGTCACTGGGACAAATTCAAGGTAAAAAAAAAAAAACCTAGCAATTTCCATGACCTTATATTTCTGTCTATTGCAACCTGTGAAACTCATTATAACAGAAGCAGTGTCGTATGACAATTCTTAGAAGTGTTCTATATCTAAATTTAAATGTAATAAAAGCAGTGATTTGTTCTGGAATACAGGAAAATTTAACAACAGCAGAGCACATGTGTAAATCAGAGGCAGAGTGAACAGACCCTGTTAAATGGGGTGAGGAAGAGGCAGCAGACACTTCATGACACTTGCTAAGCTCATTTTTAGACAATCAAAAAAAACCAAAAACAACCAGATATAAAAGCAGATTCTTTTTAATGAACGTGTGCTAGAAGTCTGGGCTAAATTTAGCTAGAAGGAAAATGGACGTAGTCAAGCACCTTAAGAAGCACAGTAAATGCTGTTGTAGGTGAGAACTGCAGACAAATGAGCAGCATCTAATCACAACAGGATAACTTTCTGCTTTGGTGGCAAACACCCACACTCAGAACCAGTAGCATGAGCTGCATTTATAGAAATGCCTCCATGCATGTCTACTAATGCAAGCAAAGGACAGTCTCTACCACAGAACTCTCCTGCCTCCACAAGCATCACATGCTCTCCATACACTACAGAGAAAAGACAGTTGCTTATTACATCAGCAGAAATAATTGAATAGAGCATGTGGAGAAAGAGTAATATTGTATGCCTGGCCAAGTAGTATTTGCTCTACAGTGCTCCTTCTGAAAGAAAGGCAGGGTTAAAGCTCCTGAACTTTCCTGGCCAGATCTGCTGTCATTAGCTCAGCACTGCTAACTTGCCAGCTGGATGGATTTCTCATGTGCTCAAGCCCTATAGGAAATACTGTAAAATAAAGTAGTCCTCCCATTCAATTGAGAGGTGTGTTCTCTCCCAAAATAACTAGGCTAAAACCCCACAGAATCACTAACTTCAGGAAGAGGAAAACAAACAAACACTCAAGCACGCCTTCTAACCCCAAGAACAACCAAAATGTAAAAAAGGAAATACAAACTATAAAAACCAAACAACACACAACTCAAGACCACCTTATTTAGAGGGATTAACTGAAACTTTTCAGAGCAGTTCAGCAAACAAGTAATTTTTCTAAGCAGCTGGATTTTTGGTTGTTTTTCTTCCTCAAAACAATCTCCTCTGAAAAAGTCATTATTACAGAAATAAAGGTACATTCTAGATATGAGCTAATAATACATCCAACTACATTTGACCAAAACACAATTATAAGCAATTTAAGTTCACTACCATGTGTGCTGCTGACAAGACAAATGGAACCAAACAAGTGTCTTGAAGCAGTCCTCACTGTTCTGCCTGAGATGTACATGTAGGGCAGGGGCTGCTGTCACTCTTGGAAGCATCACTGTGATGCTCACTCCATACTATGGCAGGGCTGGCATTGGACAGCCTCATTCCTAATCCAAAATGATAAGAATTGCAAAATGAAAAAAAAAAATAAAATAGTCAGTTATGTAAGAAAACATACAATCATTGAACGGCTTGGGTTGGAAGGGACCTTTAAGATCATCTAATTTCAACTCCCTGCTGGGACACTTCCCACTAGAACAGGTTGTTTACAGTCCTATCCAGCCTGGGCTTAAGTGCTTCTAAGGCAGGGGGCATTCACAACCGCACTGGGCAACCTGTTCCAGTGTCTCACCACCCTCATGTCTGAATAAACTCAGGTCAAGAAGCTTTAGATGATAAAGCTTCACCATCACAAGTTATACAAGAGAGTAACGAGAAAAAGGAACTGGAGAAAGAAATCCTAAAAAGATTAGTCAGTTGCCAGCACAAGTGGGGGAAGAAGGGCAAAGCCCATTTTTATAAACCATTTTAGTCTGCACTGAAAAAATCTAACTGAAGAAATGTCTTCAGCAAACTGATGCTGTTTCCAATTTTTCTGTGCCACCAGGATCCTGATCAACAGCCTCCATCCCAGAACTATCCAGTGGAATGACTCTAGATGTAGACATCCCTGCTCACTGTAGGGGATTTGGACCAGATTACCTTTATAAGTCCCTTCCAACTCAAGTGATTCTATGATTCATCCTTCCTGAAATCTAAAAGAGCACAATTAGACTTCTTTTGCTGTTAGTTTGTTTTAAATACAGAGAATGCCATGATGGAAACCCAAACAGCTAAAATACTTGCATAGTTTTTGAGAAAAGATTTTAAATAAACTATATATGATCTTGGGCTAACAAAAAAAAAAAAAAAAAGTATAATTCGTTACATTGACAGTATGAGGAATTCAGCAAGAATTGCAACTCTTATTTGCAGTTATAGCCCAAAGTGAACTGTAATATAAGTAGAATTCTCCAGGTCCAACTGAGATAATGATAGAGAATACAAGATATTTACAATGTGATATAATATCAAGCTATCTTTTCCTTTGCAGGTTTTCTCCAGCAATCTTTTTGTATCTGATTTGCATAGTACCATCATTATGGCTACTGGAAATTCACCATGGGACACAGGTATTTATTATGAAACATGATGGACTGGCTTGAAATTGATTATCTGATGGGCTGGATTTAGGTATAAATGCCAGACCTTGATCCAATTTTCCATTTTATGCAGCCGGGCCCCCCAGTCCGGCTGGGACTATGGACAACTGTGCATTTCCTAATATCAAGTAATGAACCTCTTTCCTACCTAAAATGAGACTATTTGCATTTGGCTGAGGAACTGAAGACTAGAAGTATGAAATACAGCATTTCAGCCCCAGGTTACCAGCTTGAATCTTGCTGAGGATGGTGAACGAATTTCATTGCTTTAGAGGCCTTTGTAAAATAAAATACGAGTTCTATGGCATTTACAGGCAAATTTCAAGCAAGCCAAAATGATAGTGGTAACTATCAATTAAAAGGCTCTTAAATTACCTCATGTTTACTGCAGTCTAGGAGGATATTCACAGATTCCAACCACAGATTAGCTGTTGTGGTAATTTCTCTGTGCTATACAATGATCTGGGAAGGGGAGTCTGGATTCCACTTCAGGATCTAAATGCGTGGCAGTGATTCCTGTGGCAACTGAGGTCACCAGTTAGGATGAAGACAAAGTCAACAGCCCATACCGAGCATGTGAGCCCTTGCCCTGTGCCAGCTGCTTGCAAGTCCCCATAGAACTTCCATGCAGTGAAAAGGGGATTTTTGCATGCCCCAAGATTTTTACACAACCTTGGCAGAAAATGACCTGACGGGAGCGAAAGAGAAAGTGATAGAAGATGATACATTAATTAGACTAAGGAGACACAGTCCCTTATTCTCTCTTTTGAAATATTGTTAGAGCCCACAGAAGTATAATCAAATATTCAAAATTGTGTTTACACTGAAAATGCCTGAGGCTTTTTCTAAATACAGCAGCAGGAATTTATTGTCATCTTGTTTTGCCAAATCTCCTTAAACAGTCACAGACAGGTAACGTGGATATTGAGAACATTTGTCATAGTTAAATCTGGTCCACAAAACAGGCTAATTCTGTAGTCAGAGGCAGCAGTTTATTTCCCAAAATGATGTTAGAACATGGCATACTTTGTTCTTATTGATATACTGTTACTATGAATTAAAGAGGGAGTATATCAAGTTAACAGCTTAGTTTATACCTGGAGAAATAGGATAGAGTGTTCTGGAAATGCACCATCAAACAGATTCAAAAGCAGTACCTCTAGAAGAGGAGCAGCCCTCGTAACAATATCAAACAGCACCCAGATAAGTATTACTCTTCTGGTGAAAGTTTTGCTGAAGTGTTCCTTATGAAAATAGTAACAGAATGGCTCCATACTTTTTATACACAACCATCAGAACACTTTGTGGTCTTTAAGGCAACAGAACTTTGATCTCTTGTTGAAAACCTAAGAGGTTGTGCTGGTGCTGTTACTTCAGGCATGTGCAGTCTCTCCTGAAGACTGAGGCAATTCTGCCTCCAAGTACTGCAGAACTGGACAGAGGTAGTGCCATTCTCTGTCAAAGTGGAACACTGACTGCATAGAAAGTACTGCTTTGCAGTGAAGTATTTGGGGATGAAATGCATCTTTGGGAGACTCCGTAAAATAAATTAAATTGAACTGAGCAAAAGAAATTGCTGTCAGCAAAACAGAGCAGCAAGAAAATTAAAACCATTTATTCCATTAAGAAACAATAATAATTCTTCAAATACATAAGACTTCAGATGGACAAATGCCTCTTAGTTTTTCAAATACCTTGTATATTACTGCCAGAAAGCACCGGCAGACTGCCTTTAGTAGAGGTTACCTGACTACCAGGACAATATTCATGCAAGTGTCCTGCTCAGAAGTAAGATGGATACTTGGTAAACCTTTTAAATATATTTAACCACTAAGGAAATAACCAATTTTCCTGCCCATTCCCTCAGCCTCATTCTAACATGGGATTCTCTTGCCAGCTAAAATTCCAGTGTATCACTCTTCCAGAAGAAATACTGTGCATCGTTTCTCCCTTCCCACACCCATTGTCTTCCTCAATTGGGAAGACAGCTTAAACAATTTTTTCTCCCTATGTTACATTTCAGCTTTCTAGTTGAAGCAAAATGAAGCAAAGTCACAATACTGAATTTGACATCGTGTGTTGCCATAGTGACGGCCACACTGCTTCCAGCGATGCAGAGCGAGGGGTACCTGTTGCTTAGCAGGGGCTGTCAGCTTCCACATGGTAACAGGGCTGAGGGCACTCTACCCTGCTATTCCAGCAGCAATTTTATCACCTCACTGCTGGGTCTGCTGCAAAAAGTTTTAGCTGACCTCATTTATATCTGGCACTGAATAAGAAGCAAATAGAAAATTGCTGAACTAGTTCAGTATTTCAGGGAGTCCCCTTGCACCACCAGCAAGATCTTTGCAGGCTGGGCACTAAGAAAATATGTCATGCAAAACACTTTCCATTTTGATGATAGATCAGAAAAATATCAGCTTCATTTCATAAGAAACAAAAGAAGTAAACCTAGCTAGAATTTCAGTAAGATGTGTACAACTTCTTTCTGTTCTATTTTTGCACAATAAACATTACGCACTTTTGTTCAGCTACACAGCATCTGGAGTAACAAGGCTGTAGAGCAAAGCAGGTAAACCATGTTCATCTGCCTATGAAGCTTAGAACTGGCTTCTTCCTTGTCACATTCCCATTAAGTCACTGTGCACACACAGTTAGCTAGGCAGATATGCCTGGCACCGACAGGCCTATTTATATGCATATACATGACGTAAAATAAAGGCTCTTTTCCAAACTTTCAAGTGAATCACCACCACAATCACCACTTAATAAATATTCAGAGGAACAAACCAAAAGAAGAGAGAAACCTACTGAAATTAAAATTAGAGGTTGATTTAAATACCTGACTCTGCAGATGCAGTTCTCCATTTCCAGCCTGCAGGCAGAGAGATTCAGATCTGGCTCTAAGGAACACCATTTGGTCAACGTTCTTTGAGCCATGCATCCTCCATCAAGTCAGGAATGGTTTCAAAAATTGCATATTATGAGCCTATGAAAGACATAAATAAAGTCAACTTATTTTCTTAATCATTCTCTATGCCTGTGCGCAGCTAGAAAACAAAACAAGTCCACAGCAGGCTGTGTAGGAGCAACCTGTGCAGACAACCTGGGAGATCAGCCCCACAAGGCAGCAGCTAGGCAGAACCCCAGCCCCTGTCTGTCCTTGTTTCCACAGCCAGAACTTCAAGACCTCCCTTCTCCAAATGGAAATATTTCCCCAACATCTTGGTGACAATCTTTCAATGCTGTCACATCCATTGTGCAATAAGCCATGCATTCAGTTTCAGAGCCTTTATCACCAATTCTAAAAGAACAGGCACTAACTTTTTTCCAGATTTTTCAGGCCACAGGAAGTTGTTCCATTTATCTACACTGTCAGGCAAGAAGCAGCTCTTGCTCAGATATGAGCAGTATCATCAGAGACAAAGTAAAAGGGGATCTGAAATTTTTTAGGCTCTGATATTTGCTGGAAAATGTTGCCCATCTATTGGCAGGCATTATGCTGAATAGAACTGCTCAGTATGCACGCAAACATTCCAATTGTTGCAGAAAATCACTCCTCGTGCAATAAAATGGTGGGGGGCCCAGTGGAGAAATGCAAATCATTTGGCGTTCTCTGGCACAAGTAAAGCGGGATAGAAGTCTTTCGTGACAGCCTGGTTTGATTTTCTAATTACTCCTTTTTTATTACAATGAAATGCTAAAGGCTGTTATGAAGACAGATGTTAGGAGCCAGGCCCCAGCTACCCCAGGAGCATCTGCTGGACAAAGGCAGAAAGCAATGCACCTCCCGCTGCTGAGTCACTGCGTTGCACCCAGCAGTGTGCTTTAGCCAACATTTACTTTCCCACACGATCCAACGCCTGCAAAAACTAAAGCACCAATTTTTGTACTCTGCAGGGGCAGGCAACATCACAGACTCATTTTTTCTAGTTATTCCTGAATCTCATCTCTCACATTATGAACTTCCTGCAAAATAGGCAAAGTTGCAGGGAAAGGAAAAGGGAAAACACAACCCAAATACCCCAGCAGCTCAGCTCTATTCATTGCAGCCTTGAGGGAAATCACAGAAGAAAACAATTGCATATTTAGAGAACTTATTTTGGACAGTAGAAGCTTAAAACAGATACTTGGAAAATAAGTTTGGATACAGACTCTCTGATCATAAGATGCATAAGATAGCAGACTGAGCGAATTTTACGTACTCTACCATTCTAGGCAGAAAGAGGCAATGTAGGAAACCCAGCAGCCTGTTGAAGAGAGCTGCAGAGTGCAGTTTTAGCAGAGAAACGGTATGACCCGCTCCATCAGCCTTTGAATTTACATCTGCTTCTACAGAACAATCCTGCAGCTTCCCAAGGGCCTACCAACACATCTCTCCTGTTTACAGAAGATGAATTCCTCCCTTCTGAGCAAGAGGGGTATTGCATTCAGAACAAGCATGTACCTTTATAAACATCCACCATCAAGACTGTAGGCTTCTTTCAGCCACAGAACACATCTGCTGCCTGTGCTTGATATTAATGCTTATGTAATGTTTTTGTTTACAACAGTATTGCAGCAATGAGCCTGAAGCTGTTCAGTTGAATGTCACCAATCAAGACATCAGTCAGTCTCCAGACAGCAGTGAGGGAAGCGAGAGAATAGATCATCACATCATTCGGACGGTGGGACACCTTTTCCTGTTCCTATCAGTGAACTTGTGAAATGTCGGGGAAAAGCAATTGGAGAGGACTGTCATATCTATACGGGCAAACTCTTTAAGTAGTGACCAAAAGAAAAGGTGGCTTACACAAAGCCATATGGTAAAAGTGCCCAACACGTCACTAAGTACTAACACTTGTTGGTAGGAAGTCTCATACTGTTCTCCTCAAAACCTGACTGAATTTAGAGTGTCTGGATGATGGTTCTGCAAATGATAATAGTTAAAAAAATGATAACAGGAAAAAAAAAGCATGGAGAAAGAATCAGTACTCATTACCCAAAAATGTTATTCACATGCCTTTTTCAAATTATACCCACCACATAGAAATTATTTCCTCTAATGCTACGTGAAGGAGATCAAAGGCAGGCTGAAGGACTAATGCCATCTTTAAGTTAAGTCTCCTGAAGTTACAGCATGTTACTGTTGTTGTGTTTTAAACAGGCTAAAGTCTTTGTGAATCAGCTCTCCACAATCTGTGAGACTGTATGGACCCTGGCCCTCCACCAGACCTTTCTACTACTTCTAGTAGTTGGGAGATGGCTTCTCCCCATTGGGGTTGAAATCACCCGGGACCAGTTGTCCCAGCTGCTTCTCATGTTTGTAGGAACAGCAGCAGATATACTTGAATTTGCTAGTGAAACCCTGGACATTGAGGATGTGCGGTAAGGAATATTTGCTGACATAAATAATTTGCACATTACAAAAGAGATTTGTTCAGTTTGAAGATTTGTTTGTGCTGTCTGTGGCATCCAGACCACAAGAACTGTATTCCCTCTGATAACAGAAGGCTACATTCAAGGGCTCCGTCTTCCTACTAATCTTTCTGCTGTAAAAGACATAACAGTTCTATGAGCTTTGTTAGAGATTACTTATCCATTGCTAACAGAGAAACACGCCACATTCATCACAACAAAAGGGTACAAAAAGCCAAACAACTGATGTAACTGCAATGTGGCATTAAGTCGGAAAGCTACAGCAGCTGAAACTCTGACTACACACAGAACTTCTCAGGTTAATGAATTGTTTTAGACTGACATGGAAGTAACTCAAGTTTGCTTTAGTGACTCATTATCCAAGTCAATTCTTTGGTTACTTCATTTGTAGTTTTTTCTTCACAACAGAACAACAGTGTTCAAAAGTAAGAAGAAAGGGAACAGCCTAGTTCTGGCGTGAGTTGTCAACAGAGAATGTAAGCCCACCTCCCTCTCACCGCAGTGAGAGCTGAATTGTGAACACCTATCACAAGGAGAAAGAATCACAGAAAAGGTTCTCCTGCAGACACTAGTCTTTTTTTTATTTTATGCTTTAATATCGCAGAAAAGGCTTTACAGCAGGGAAGTCAGAAGGACTTGGAAGAGAAGCTTCAGGCTTGCAGGGAATATGTAAACATAGCTCAAAGTAGAGATATTTCCATATATACTTATAACATTGGCATCAGGAATTTAGTGTAATTGCACAGCTGGAACATGTGGACTAAGCAGCAAAAATTCCACACCAAAAAGTGCCTCTGTTTTCCTCAGTATTACTAGTATCACTTGGAAACATGCATTAATCACTGTTTAGCTCAACCTCCCTTTAAATGACATTCCAAATACTACAGAAAACATTTTTGTTAACACAAAAGGAAACTGCTTTTTCACTGTTACTACTTTTTTACCTCCTATAGGAAGAATTATATTCTCATAAATGCAATTCTTGCTGTATGGACCTGGAGTATGTTACAGTTTCCACTTGATCTTGCAGGTTAGTACTTGCACACAGACAAGAAATAAGAACATGTGCTTTAAGGTTTTGCTGGCATGTCTTGTGATTGTGCACAGGCTTCAAGCTATATCCAGAGCTTCTGCTGAAGAGCAATTCATATGACAAAGACAGTGACAGAAAGCCTATTGCGGTCTCTTTCGAGGAAGCACTTGTTTCTGGCTAACCTCTGTCTTCTTGATAAAATACTACTTCCAGAAAAAGTGGTACTGCAGTACTGAAGCATTGCTCTAGTTACTGCTGTAAATTTCATATTAGCTCCTGGGTTAGATCTGGCCATGGAATCTACCATGGTTCCAATCTGGGGAGACTACTGGATCCCACAGAGAAATAGGCAAATATCAGCCACAGGGAACAACACAGCCTAAACACAGATGTTGCAGGCTCTCAAGGGGTTACCACAGGACACGTTACCTGACCACAGGGAACTTGCAAGACCATACTGTGTTGGGACTGTATATTCTTATCCTAAACTAAAAGGCCCAACATCCAGCTAACTCAGGTTGGTATTTGCCTGCAGGCAGAAAGGCTTCCTTAGGTCAAAGGAGATAATAATATAATTTCAACCAAAATAATATTTATTTCAACCCTTTTGGCCTCCAATATCAACAAGTTTGCAAGTCAAATGTATCAGTCTGAAGATAAGTTATCCACACCAGCATCTTCTATAAAACCGGTGACTACTAGGTTGACATACCTAAAGTAACGAACAAATAAAGTAAAAATGAAAAATGATTCCTGAAGTTTTTCATTAGCTCTCTCTTTGTTGACAGTATTAGGCTTTGATTTCAATTTTGACGATAGGAAAATATTTCAGTATTTCAGCTCAGCTATCACCTTCTGAAAAAACAATGTTGCAATTTATCACAAATAAATTTTTTTTTGTTACTGGTAAAATATATTCTCTTAAAGATGCACAAACTTTAAAAAAACTACACATACCCAAATAAATTCAAATGCTACTTAAAGAAACCCTACATTAATTTAAGTAAAGCAAGATGTGTGTTGTGCTTTTTTTTGTTCCCTCTGGCTGTTGCTTTTCCGCTTATTTTTCTGCTACAGTTACATTTAACTAGTGCTCAATAACTTAATTCTTAACATGTTGACTATGGGTGCAACTTATTTTAGGTAACTATACAGCTGCACAAATGCTACTTTTCATTCATACAACAGAATGTTTACTTGTACGTAACTGTGACCTAAAAAAGCAATTCATAGATGCTATATAAAACTACAGCAATGAAGTTAAGACTATTAAAAACATAAAAGCTATTAAAAATTAGCTGCTGGTGGTGAAGCTTTGCCTACTGGATTCAGAACAAGTGTTTCCCCTTCTGCAACTCATTTTCTGCTCTTAAGTCTCATCTTTTTTTTCCTTTTCCCCGTGCTACCTCAAACAATTGAGTTATTTTGGTAAGCTGTGCTACTTGGTTGCATCACAGTAACTACTGTGTATACTAATGTGTAAATACTGTGCTTATACTAATGTAATCCCATCACCAGAGAAATAGGTTAGTTTAGCTTCGTGAATTTTCATAACATGCAGCCATACCTACCACACACAAAGCTGTCTGATGACCCTTCTTTAGATGCCACCAAAAGCATTCCAGCCCACCACTGCTTCTATAGGTAAAGACCTGTGCATCCACACAGCTTCTAGCAGTTGCATGCAATTTGATGTCCGGAAGGCTAAGAGCAAGTACCTGTGGTTTAAGTCTTACAAGGCAAGCAGGCACTACGGATTCTTCCTGTCCGTAATGCTTGATACTGTCTCTCACCAAACATGACATAAACTTATTATAACACAAGCAAAAGGCAACAGTCTGCAACTGAATCTCTCACAAGCAAGGTCTTAGCTTGGAACCAGCTGAAATGTTTCCATTCAAGGTTTTTTTTCTTTCTTAACAATGTATGTTAACTTAGCACATTGATTTAACAGAAAAGTATCTGGGAAAGTTGTTGTAGAAAAATTAAGTGAACTTCTTCTTTTAAAGTGTATAAATACTGATAGTTTTGTGGGACAGAAAAGGGGAAGTGGGTTTTGGTTCTTTTGGACAGATTATGTAAATGCCTGCTTAACTTAAGATCCCAGAAATGGGATATGCTTTACATTGAATTGTTCACATTTGAATGCAGTTATAATTCAAGCTACCTAAAAGCTGCCCTTTAGCCCAATCCTTGCTAAGTTTTAAGAGAGCTGTTTTAACCCATATGTTTTATTTCCAGTACAGCATATTGGCTGCAAACCAACTGCATCGAGCAGGCAGATTCCTAACCTGCTGCTGTGCAGGTATAGCGCAGAGCTGTGGAACATCGGAGTGAGCTTGTTCATACAGGATGGACCCTTCTTCATTGTGCGTTCAATCCTGATGGGCCATTTTCGAATATTCAACCAGATGCTGGTGTTTTTTACAGCTAAGAATATCTTAGTTGTGATCCTACAACTGTATCGCTTGGCAGTGATAACGTTAGACTTTCGCGCTACTATTCTGCAAAAGAGCAGGAAGGGAGAGGTTGGCTGTTGCCCATGTGAGCCTTACGAAGCCAATACTCACGGTACTGCTGAGCAGGACACCGAAATGAAAGAGTGTGTTGCTTTGCCACTGAAAGAGGAACCCCAGGCTCCATTGGAAGAGCAGTAAGCACCGTGATTGACTCAAGACCAATTTCATTTCTCAGCTGGTTCAGGAGGGCCTATTTCTATGGTGAAACTGACTTTGAGCACAATTCATCTCTTCCACTAAGAGATTAATAATTTCTTCTAAACTGTAGGGGAGATTTCTGAAGAAAAAAAAAATCATAGAAGTGGGACATTTTGTATCTCGT